CACCACAACATGGTTGAGGGACTACCCCCCACAACAGGGGTTAAGGTGACTCCCCCCCACAACAGGGTATGGGGGGACGCCACTACAACGGGTATAGTGACGCCACCCCACGGGTATAGGTGACTACCCCCCACAGCAGGTTTGGTACTACCACCCACAACGGGGTAGATGACTCCCATCACACGGGGGTATGAGGTACTACCACCCAAAACATGGGTATGGGGTGACACCACCCACAAATGGGTATGGTGACACCCCCCACAACAGGGTAAGGGGTGACTACCCCCCACAACATGGTATGAGGGACTACCCCCACAACATGGGTATGATGACTACCACCCACAACGGGGGTATGAGGGATACCACCCAAAACAGGGAAAGAGGTGACACCACCCACAAAAAGGGTTAGGTGACACCACCCACATGGTAGAGGTGAACCACCCACAACATTTATGGGGGACTCCCCCCCACAACATGGGTATGGGGTGCTACCACCCCAACATGGGATGAGGTGACTACCACCCCAACAGGGGTATGAGGTGACCCCACCCGAACAGGGTTTGAGGTGACTGCCCCCCAAAAGTGGAAGAGTGACTGCCCCCCCCAACAGATTTGAGGACACCACCCACAACAGGGGTATGGGGTACTACCACCCACAACATATATGATGCCCCACCCACCCCTGGGTAATTTTACTACCCCCCAAAACATGGGTAGAGGACTGCCACCCCCAACAGGGGGTTTGGGTGACCCACTACAACTGGGTAGAGGTACTACCACCCCAACTGGTATAGGTGACTACCACCCACAACATGGATGAGGGACTCCCCCACCCACAACAGGGGGTATAAGGTGCTACCCCTCACAACTTTGGGTAGAGGTACTGCCACTCACAACAGGGGTAGGGGTACGGACCCCACAACTGGGTATGAGGTGACTACCACCCACAACATGGGTATGGGGTGATACCACCCACAACATGAGTAGGGGTATTGCCCCCACAACGGGGTATGTTTTACTACCCCCCACAACGGGGCATGGGGTGACTACCACCCACAACATGGGTATGGGGTGACTCCCCCCCCACAACAGGGGGGTATGTGGTACTACCACCCATAACATGGGTAGATGTGGCCCCCCCCACCAACAGGGGATGAGCGACTACCCCCCAAAACAGGGAAAAGGGAACAACCCCCCCAACATGGGAAAGGTGCGCCACCTAAAACAGGTATAGGTACTGCCACCCAAAAACAGGGGTATGAGGTGACTACCCCCCACACGGTTATGAGTGACTACCACCCACAACAGGGGTAGGGGGTGACTACCACTCACAACATGGTATGAGGTGCTACCACCCAAAAAAAAACAGGGGTATGATGCTACCCCCACAAACATGGGTATAGGTGCACCCCCCACAACAGGGTATGGGGTTACTACCACCCACAACAGGGTAGAGGTGACTACCCCCCCCAACAGGGGTAGGGGTACTCCCACCCAAAACAGGGGTATGGGGTGACTACCCCCCACAACAGGGGTTAAGTGACACCACCAAAACAGGGGTTGAGGGGGCTACCCCCCCCAAACAGGGTATAGGGGGTACCCCCACAACATTTTTGGGTGCTCCCCCCCCAAAACCTGGGTTCATGGGTCTACCACCCAAAACCCGGGGTAGGGGTGACACCACCCACAACATGGGTATGAGGGACTACCACCCACAACAGGGTTGAGGTGACCCCACCCACATGGTATAAGGTACTCCCACCCCAACAGGGATGGGTACTACCCCCCACAACAGGGGGTTTGGGGTGACACCACCCAAAACGGTAAGGGGACTACCACCCCAACAGGGGTATGATGACACCACCCCCAACATGGGTATGGGGGCTACCCCCACACAACGGAAAGAGGTGACTACCCCCCAACATGGGTAGGGGTGACACCCCCCACAACATTTTTCATGAGGTACTACCACCCACAACGGGGTATGGGGACTACCACCCAAAAAGGGGAAAAGAGGTCCTACCACCCACAACATGGTAAGGTGACCCCACCCCACATGGTATAGTACACCCCCCACAAGGGGTAGGTGCCCCCCCCCCCCCCCAAAACCCTGGGTAGAGGGGACTAACCCCCACAACAGGGGTATGAGGTACCCCCACCCAAAACAGGGTATGAGGTACTCCCACCACAAATGGTATGAGGTGGCTCCCCCACACACGGGGTAGATGACTACCCCCCCCAACATGGGAGGGGTGACTCCCCCCCACAACAGGGGTATGGGGTCGCTACCTACAACATGGGTATGGGGTACGCCACCCCAACAGGGCATAGGGATACACCCCAAGCAGGGGTAAGTGACCCCCACCCACAACAGGATGGGGGACACCACCCACAACAGGGTATGGGTGACTACACCCCAACATATAGAGGTGACTCCCACCCAAACATGGATGGGGGACACCCCCACAACAGGGTAGGGGACAACCCACAACATGGGTAAGGTGACACCCCCCACAACAGGGTATGGGGGACTCCCACCTACAACAGGGGTAAGGTACACCCCCCCAAAACAGGAATTACTACCACCCCAACGGGGGATGAGGGGGGCTACCCCACCAACTGGTATGGGGTGACTACCCCCACAACAGGGTATGAGGACTACCCCCCAAACAGGGGTATGAGGTACTCCCCCTTACAACAGGTTATGAGTGAGCCACCCAAAACATGGGAGGGGTACTACCCCCCAAACATGGGATATGACTACCCCCCACAACAGGGGTTTGAGGGATACCCCCACAACAGGGTATGGGGGACACCACCCCAACAGGAGAGGTACTACCCCCCAACATGGTATAGGTATACCACCCCAACGGGGATAGGGGGCTACCCCACACAACATGGATGAGGTACACCCCCACAACATGGGAATGAGGTGACACCCCCCACAACATGGGTATGAGGTACGCCCCCTTTACAACAGGGGTATGGGGTGACCCCAAACCCACAACATGGGTAAAAGGGTGACTACCCCCCACAACAGGGGGTATGAAGTCTACCACCCACAACATGGTAAATGACTCCCCCCACAACAGGGGTATGAGACAACCACCCACAACATGGTATGGGGTGACTACCAACCCCAACATGGTATGAGGTGACAAACCCCCCAACGGGGTAGGGGTACAAACCACCCACAACGGGTATGGGGGTAAAACCACCCACAACATGGGTAGAGGTGACTCCCACCCAACAGGGGTAAAGGTGACTACCCCCCACACATGGGTATAGGTGACTACCACCCAAAAATGGGTATGAGTGACTACCCCCCACAAGGGGGTATAGGTGATACCCCACAACAGGGGAAAAGGTCTACCACCCACAACATGGTATGAGGTGACTACCCCCACAACGGGTATGAGTATACCCCCCACAACATGGTATGAGGTGACACCCCCCCCCAAACGGGGTATGGGGTACTACCACCCCAACAGGATAGGGAACCACCCACAACATGGTATGATGACTACCACCCCCCAACATGGGTATGAGGGAAAACACCCACAACGGGGTTAGGGACTACCCCCCACAACATGGATGGGGTTTACTACCACCCAAAAACGATAGAGGTGACGCCACCCCAAAACATGGATAGGGACTCCCCCCACAACAGGATGAGGGACTGCCACCCACAACAGGGTAGAGGTGACTCCCCCCCCAACGGGTATAGTGACCCCCCACAACGGGGTATGAGTACTACCCCCAAAACAGGGTATAGGTGATACCACCCACAACAGAGTATGAGTGACTGCCCCCAAAACTGGGTAAGGTGACTACCCCCCACAACAGGGGTATGATGACTGCCACCAAAACATGGGATGGGTGACTGCCCCCACAACATGGGTAGGGGTGACTACCACCCAAAACAGGGGATGGGGTTTACTACCACCCAAAACATGGGTAGAGGTGACTACCACCCCAACGGGGGTATGAGGACTCCCACCCACAACAGGGGTAGAGGGACTACCACCCCAACATGGAGAGTGACTACCACCCACAACAGGGGTTGGGTACTACCACCCAAAACATGGTATGGGTGACTCCACCCAAACTTTAAAGGGGTGACTACCCCCCACAACAGGGGGTAGATGACTCCACCCAAAACATGGTAGGGGCCTACCACCCACAACAGGGGTATGAGGAACCCACCCACAAAGGTAGAGGGACTACCCCCACAACAGGGGTATGAGGTGACTACCACCCACAACATGGGTAAAGGTAATGTTTTCGTTTTTTACACTTCACGTTTATGTTTATCTTTTTTTTCTTTCTCCATCTCTATTATTTGCTTCCTCTCTAAATCCTCCTATCTGTTTTTCTTCCTTCCTGTCTCCTCTTACCCCTCTTTTTCTCCCCCTCTAAACTAATTCATTTCCGTTACTTCACACAGGCCCACTTTGTGGTCAGGTTCGACCCCCGGTAGGGGTGGCCCCTGGGGCTTTTTTCCCCTTAAACCCCGCCCCCTTTTCACCTGCACAAGTAGTCCCTGGGTTTTGTCGCTGGTTGGGTCGCATGGGGACAAAATTAGCCAATTTGCCTCAAATGCGACAAAACAAGGGTTTTCTTACAGTAGTATTCACTGATCATTACGGCTGTTCCCTTGAAATTTTACGGTAAAATAAAGATTATTTTATTATTTTTATTATTATTTATTATTTTAAATTATATTATATTAATTAATTCCTAACCACTGCTTTTTTTCACGTCTCACGTCTGTCTGTCTATCTCAAAACCTCTCTCTCTCCTCTTTTGTATCTTCTGCCTTTGTCTGACGCTTACTCTGTTTTTCCTCTCCTCTGCTCACCCTCTCTGCTCACAAACACTCCCTCTCTCACTGTCTCTTTCCCTTTGCTACCACCATCAGGGTTAACACCACCAGAGGTCGGGTGGACGGATCCTTTCATTTGATTCTGGGTGTTTGATGCTGGCTATACCACCCATACATTTTCGGGATGCTCCTCCTGCAACACAGCAACACTTTTAAGTGATCCTGCAACACTTTTATGGTACTCCCACACGTTATGGTGCCCCTGAAACACTTTTTTGGTGACTCCTGCAACCAGAAACACTGTTATAGTGACCCTGCAACACGTTAGGGTGACCCTGCTACACTGTTAGGGTCCCCCTGCAACACGTTAGTGAGTCCGCAACACAAAACACTGTTAGGGACTCCGCAACACAGCAACACTGTTATGGTGACCCTGCAACACAACACGTTATAGTGACTCCTGCAACCTTTTATGTATCCTGCAAACAGCAACACTGTTATGGGACCCCTGCAACACAGCAACACTGAATGGTAAACCCCAAACACAACACGTTAATGACACTCAACACTGTTATGGTGACTCTTCAACACAAAACACGTTATGGTCCCCAGCAACACAACAACCTGTTAGGGTGACCCCTTTCAACATGTTATGGTGCCTCCAGCAACACAACAACACTGTTATGGTGCCTCCAGCAACACAACAACACTGTTATAGTGACTCCTGCAACACTGTTATGGTGACTCCTGCAACACAACAACACTGTTATGGTGCCTCCAGCAACACAGCAACACTTATGGTGACTCCTGCAACACAACAACACTGTTATGGTGCCTCCAGCAACACAACAACACTGTTATGGTGACTCCTGCAACACAGCAACACTGTTATGGTGACTCCTGCAACACAGCAACACTGTTATGGTGACTCCTGCAACACAACAACACTGTTATGGTGCCTCCAGCAACACAACAACACTGTTATGGTGACTCCTGCAACACAGCAACACTGTTATGGTGACTCCTGCAACACAACAATACTGTTATGGTGACTCCTGCAACACTGTTATGGTGACTCCTGCAACACAACAACACTGTTATGGGGACTCCTGCAACACAGCAACACTGTTATGGTGACTCCTGGAACACAGGAACACTGTTATGGTGACTCCTGCAACACAGCAACACTGTTATGGTGACTCCTGCAACACAGGAACACTGTTATGGTGACTCCTGCAACACAACACTGTTATGGTGCCTCCAGCTACACAACACACTGTTATGGTGACTCCTGCATCACAGCAACACTGTTACGGTGACTCCTGCAACACAGCAACACTGTTATGGGGACTCCTGCAACACTGTTATGGTGACTCCTGGAACACAGCAACACTGTTATAGTGACTCCTGCAACACAGCAACACTGTTATGGTGACTCCTGCAACACAGCAACACTGTTATGGTGACTCCTGCAACACAGCAACACTGTTATGGTGACTCCTGCAACACAACAACACTGTTATGGCGACTCCTGCAACACAACACTTATGGTGACCCCTGCAACACAGAAACACTGTTATGGTGACTCCTGCAACACAGCAACACTGTTATGGTGACTCCTGCAACACAGCAACACTGTTATAGTGACTCCTGCAACACAGCAACACTGTTATAGTGACTCCTGCAACACAGCAACACTGTTATAGTGACTCCTACAACACAACCACACTGTTATGGTGCCTCCAACAACACAACAACACTGTTATGGTGACTCCTGCAACACAACAACACTGTTATGGTGCCTTCTGTAACACAACACTTTTGGTGACTCCTGCAACACAGCAACACTGTTATAGTGACTCCTGCAACACAACAACACTGTAATAGTGACTCCTGCAACACAGAAACACTATTATGGTGACTCCTGCAACACAGCAACACTGTTATGGTGACTCCTGCAACACAGCAACACTGTTATGGTGACTCCTGCAACACAACAACGCTGTTATGGCAACTCCTGCAACACAACACTTATGGTGACCCCTGCAACACAGAAACACTGTTATGGTGACTCCTGCAACACAGCAACACTGTTATGGTGACTCCTGCAACACAAGAACACTGTTATGGTGACTCCTGCAACACAGAAACACTGTTATGGTAACTCCTGCAACACAACACTTTTATGGTGACTCCTGCAACACAACAACACTGTTACGGTGTCTCCTGTAATACAACACTGTTATGGTGCCTCCTGTAATAAAACACTGTTATGGTGCCTCCTGTAATACAGCACTGTTATGGTGCCTCCTGTAATGCAACACTGTTATGTTGCCTCCTGTAATACAACACTGTTATGTTGCCTCCTGTAATGCAACACTGTTATGTTGCCTCCTGTAATACAGCACTGTTATGGTGCCTCCTGTAATACAACACTTATGTTGCCTCCTGTAATACAACACTTATGTTGCCTCCTGTAATACAACACTTATGTTGCCTCCTGTAATACAACACTGTTATGTTGCCTCCTGTAATACAACACTGTTATGTTGCCTCCTGTAATACAACACTGTTATGTTGCCTCCTGTAATACAACACTGTTATGTTGCCTCCTGTAATACAACACTGTTATGTTGCCTCCTGTAATACAACACTGTTATGTTGCCTCCTGTAATACAACACTGTTATGTTGCCTCCTGTAATACAACACTGTTATGTTGCCTCCTGTAATACAACACTGTTATGTTGCCTCCTGTAATGCAACACTGTTATGTTGCCTCGTGTAATACAACATTGCTGTGTTGCCTCCTGTAATACAACATTGCTATGTTGCCTCGTGTAATACAACATTGCTATGTTGCCTCCTGTAATGCAACACTGTTATGTTGCCTCGTGTAATACAACATTGCTATGTTGCCTCCTGTAATGCAACACTGTTATGTTGCCTCGTGTAATACAACATTGCTGTGTTGCCTCCTGTAATACAACATTGCTATGTTGCCTCGTGTAATACAACACTGTTATGTTGCCTCGTGTAATACAACACTGTTATTTTGCCTCCTGTAATACAACACTGTTATGTTGCCTCCTGTAATACAACACTGTTATGTTGCCTCCTGTAATGCAACACTGTTATGTTGCCTCCTGTAATGCAACACTGTTATGTTGCCTCCTGTAATACAACACTGTTATGTTGCCTCCTGTAATACAACACTGTTATGTTGCCTCCTGTAATACAACATTGCTATGTTGCCTCCTGTAATGCAACACTGTTATTTTGCCTCGTGTAATGCAACACTGTTATGCTGCCTCCTGTAATACAACATTGATATGTTGCCTCGTGTAATACAACATTGCTATGTTGCCTCGTGTAATACAACATTGCTATGTTGCCTCTTGTAATGCAACACTGTTATGTTGCCTCGTGTAATACAACATTGATATGTTGCCTCGTGTAATACAACATTGCTATGTTGCCTCGTGTAATACAACATTGCTATGTTGCCTCCTGTAATGCAACACTGTTATGTTGCCTCGTGTAATACAACATTGTTATACTACAACAAAGACGCCGTAGCGTTACATGTCTGTCTTATACATCTACTTGTCGATTTCTGATTACTAATAATATATAAGAGTACCATGTGTCTATACTGTGAATACAGTAACAGAAATACAACCTACCAGTAGTGTAGCTTCACGTGAGTGACTACAGTAGCAGAAATACAACCTACCAGGACAGAAGATACCTTCACCGTCCAGCCAGCCAAAGAGCTCCACCAGGCGGCCGATAACGAAGCTCTCAACCAGTGTGAACACTGGTGCTGCCTCGTACGTGTGTCTGGAATTATATTTTCTGTTAACGTAAGTAATTATATATATATATATATATATATATATATATATATATATATATATATATATATATAATATATATATATATATATATATATATATATATAATGTCGTGCCGAATATGTAAAACTGGTCAATTAGCAAGAACTCATTTAAAATTAAGTCCTTTCTGAAATTTTCTCTTATACGTTTAAAGATATATTTTTTCATTAATGTTAATGTAAAAATTTTTAATTTTGCACCAAAAGAATCTTAGAAAACTTACCTAACCTTATTATAACAAGAGCAATTTATTTAAGCCTAACCCAACTAAATATATTTAAAATACGTTTACAATAATTTAATACTAAACAAACACAATCAAATATATTTTTTTCGTTAGGTTCAGAATGATTTTGGCGAAATTATTGCATACACAAATTTTCACTTGTCCTATATGGCAAGATGAACGTTGCTGTTTAAGCCAAGATCGCAAGTTCTGCCTATTCGGCACGACATAAAATATATATATATATAATATATATATAAATATAATATATATTATATATATAAATATATATATATATATATATATATATATATATATATAATCGCGAAATGATACAAGATGCAAAACAACCACAGGTGGAGTTAAATATATGTTTATTATGGACACCATACCCATCTTGTGGGTGGTAGTCATACCATACCCATCTTGTGGGTGGTAGTCATACCATACCCATCTTGTGGGTGGTAGTCATACCATACCCATCTTGTGGGTGGTAGTCATACCATACCCATCTTGGGGGTGGTAGTCATACCATACCCATCTTGTGGTGGTAGTCATACCATACCCATCTTGTGGGTGGTAGTCATACCATACCCATCTTGTGGGTGGTAGTCATACCATACCCATCTTGTGGGTGGTAGTCATACCATACCCATCTTGTGGGTGGTAGTCATACCATACCCCATCTTGTGGGTGGTAGCCCAACCCATACCCATCTTGTGGGTGGTAGTCCATACCATACCCATCTTGTGGTGGTAGTCATACCATACCCATCTTGTGGGTGGTAGTCACACCATACCCATCTTGTGGGTGGTAGTCATACCATACCCATCCTGTGGGTGGTAGTCATACCATACCCATCTTGTGGTGGTAGTCATACCAACCCATCCTGTGGGTGGTAGTCACACCATACCCATCTTGTGGGTGGTAGTCATACCAAACCCATCTTGTGGGTGGTAGTCATAACCAACCCATCTTGTGGGGTGGTAGTCATACCATACCCATCTTGTGGGTGGTAGTCATACCATACCCATACCTGTGGGTGGTAGTCATACCATACCCATCTTGTGGTGGTAGTCAAAACCATACCCATCCTGTGGGTGGTAGTCATACCATACCCATCCTGTGGGTGGTAGTCATACCATACCCATCTTGTTGGGTGGTAGTCAAAACCATATACCCATCTTGTGGGTGGTAGTCATACCATACCCATCCTGTGGGTGGTAGTCATACCATACCCATCCTGTGGGTGGTAGTCACACCATACCCATCCTGTGGGTGGTAGTCATACCATACCCATCCTGTGGGTGGTAGTCATACCATACCCATCCTGTGGGTGGTAGTCATACCATACCCATCCTGTGGTGGTAGTCATACCATACCCATCCTGTGGGTGGTAGTCACACCATACCCATCCTGTGGGTGGTAGTCATAACATACCCATCCTGTGGGTGGTAGTCACACCATACCCATCCTGTGGGTGGTAGTCACCACCATACCCATCCTGTGGGTGGTAGTCACACCATACCCATCCTGTGGGTGGTAGTCACACTATACCCATCTTGTGGTGGTAGTCATACCATACCCATCCTGTGGGTGGTAGTCATACCAACCCATCCTGTGGGTGTGTAGTCACACCATACCCATCCTGTGGGTGTATCATACCATACCCATCCTGTGGGGTGGTAGTCACACCATACCCACCCGGGTGGGTGGTAGTCACACCATACCCATCCTGTGGGTGGTAGTCACACCATACCCATCCTGTGGGCGGTAGTCACACCATACCCATCCTGTGGGTGGTAGTCAAAACCATACCCATTGTGTGGGTGGTAGTCATACCAAAACCCATCCTGTGGGTGGTCATACCATACCCATCCTGTGGGTGGTAGTCACACCATACCCATCCTGTAGGTGGTAGTCACACCATACCCATCCTGTGGGTGGTAGTCACACCATACCCATCCTGTGGGTGGTAGTCATACCAAATACCCATCCTGTGGGTGTAGTCATACCATACCCATCCTGTGGGAGGTAGTCATACCATACCCATCCTGTGGGGTAGTCATACCATACCCATCCTGTGGGCGGTAGTCACACCATACCCATCCTGTGGTGGTAGTCACACCATACCCATCCTGTGGTGGTAGTCACACCATACTCATCCTGTGGGTGGTAGTCATACCATACCCATCCGGTGGGTGAGTCATACCATACCCATTGTGTGGGTGGTAGTCATACCATACCCATCCTGTGGGTGGTAGTCATACCATACCCATCCTGTGGGTGGTAGTCACACCATACCCATCCTGTGGGTGGTAGTCACACCATACCCATCCTGTGGTGGTAGTCCCCACCATACCCACCCTGTGGGTGGTAGTCACACCATACCCATCCTGTGGGTGGTAGTCATACCATACCCATCCTGTGGGTGGTAGTCATACCATACCCATCCTGTGGGTGGTCATACCATACCCATCCTGTGGGTGGTAGTCACACCATACCCATCCTGTAGGTGGTAGTCACACCATACCCATCCTGTAGGTGGTAGTCACACCATACCCATCCTGTAGGTGGTAGTCACACCATACCCATCCTGTGAGTGGTAGTCATACCATACCCATCCTGTGGGCGGTAGTCAAGACATTACAGAGGTACATAATGGGTCCAGGAACTGGGCCCCAAAGTTATGATAGCTGAACAAGGTACTAAGATAATGAACTCGCAAGTTACAAAGGTAAAGAATCAAGTAAGTAAGTAAATTTACTTAAGTTTATACATGGCTACAATCATGAACAAATTATAGAGTAATGAGCAATTCACACGTCCAATTTATCTACGCCTTTCGTGTTGCAATCAACACATCAGGAGGTTGATAAATTAGACACATGTGCAACTCTTGGGTATCTTTATTGAGGAAACGTTTCGCCACACAGTGGCTTCATCAGTCCATACAAAGGAGAATCTTGAAGAACAGGAGGAGAATGAGGTAATCAGTCCCTCAACCTTGAGTCGATGTGGTCAGTCCATCAATCTTGAATAGAATACGGCATACGTGCTGAGAAGCAGCTTATAAACCGTTGGCAGGAGAGGTGCAGCAGTCATAGGTCGTGTAACATTTGTTCAATGTTGAAGTAGGTCGTGCCCAAGAATTAGGCAAGCGAAGAATTCCCAAGTATTAAGATCCCAAGAAGTTGCAGTGTCTGACAGATTTGTAGACGAATGGTTCAGAGAACCGACATGTTGATAAATTAGACACATGTGCAACTCTTGGGTATCGACTCAAGGTTGAGGGACTGATTACCTCATTCTCCTCCTGTTCTTCAAGATTCTCCTTTGTATGGACTGATGAAGCCACTGTGTGGCGAAACGTTTCCTCAATAAAGATACCCAAGAGTTGCACATGTGTCTTATTTATCAACATGTCGGTTCTCTGAACCATTCGTCTACATCAGGAGGTTGCAAAGTTGCACAAATGGGTAGGAAGTCCAGGCAGAATAGTTCAGAGGAACGTTCTAGTCAGAACGTTTCCCTGAACGTATTTACTTGGACTTCCCACTGATATCTGCAGCACTGCAAGCTCCTGATGATGCATTGATGGCCACACGAGAGGCCTAGAGCTATCTTTCAACTCCCCCCAGTGGTTTTTTTGCACACACATTAGAGAGAAGATGATTCCAAAATTTTGGCAAATATCGATAATTTTCCCTATATGATTCATTTCAAAATTATAACAACACGTTTAATATACATAAAAATAATTATTGCTGATGACTTAATTAAATAATACGAGAATATTATTATTAAACAACTTAATTACTCTGAGATGACAATGTCATTAATAATTACTAATTACAGCCACCCATGTGAGGCTTTCAAATTGAAAAAAAAAAAAACAGAAGCATCAATTTCCTGAATCTATCCAAAGATTTGGTCATCTGATGCAGTCATAATCAAAAATCAATTATAAAAACTAAGTCTGACTAATTTTTAGTTACAGTAAACGTGAAAGTAAATTATCTAACACTGGCAGTTTTGTTAATCTAATAAGACACACGTCCAACAGTTTGGTATCTTTGGAAATATAAACACAAATGCAGTATAATATGATCCTTTATTGACAACGTTTCACCCACACAGTGGGTAGATCCGTGTGTGACTTGAAAAAGCCCACTGTGTGGGTGAAACGTTGTCAATAAAGGATCACATTATACTGCATTTGTGTTTATATTTCCATTGTGTCGGTATTTTATACCATTTATTTCCACAGTTTGGTATCTTTATTAAGACACGTTTCGCCTACACGGTAGGCTTCTTTAGTCGAGTACAGGAGAGTCAGCAGAAGCGGTAGAGATGTGAAGACGATGTAATTAATCCATCTGCTGCCTCAACTCTGCTCGAAGTCTACTGTGTAGGTCACTACCATGATAAGAGACAACACAAGAAGTGTCAGGGGTCCAAGACTGTCCAACTGCCTCCCAGCATACATTAGGGGGATTACCAAAAGACCCCTGACTGTCTTCAAGCAGATACTGGACAGGCACCTAAAGTCCGTACTTGACCAGCCGGGTTGTGGTTCGTACGTTGGATTGCATGCAGCCAGCAGTAACAGCCTGGTTGATCAGGCCCTGATCCACTATGAGGCCTGGTCACAGACCGGGCCGCGGGGACGTTAACCCCCGGAACTCTCTCCACGTATACTCCAGGTATACTTGTCAGTTGGTTTAGAAAGACACGTAAGCAAACACTATAACATATGTATTAGAAAACGTTTCGGTCCTGGGACCTTGATCACTTCTAACATACAGAGGTAGAAAGACATTATATATATAGGCGGAGAGTGAGGTGTGACGCACGTGACCTGAGGAATGTCATAAGAATGTCATAGGAACAGTGTTCCTCCATTCTTATGTTCTTATGACATTCCTCAGGTCACGTGCGTCACACCTCACTCTCCGCCTATATATATAATGTCTTTCTACCTCTGTATGTTAGAAGTGATCAAGGTTCCAGGACCGAAACGTTTTCTAATAAATATGTTATAGTGTTTGCTTATGTGTCTTTCTAAACCAACTTGTCGGTATTTATTACCAAGGTTTATACCATACTTGTCAGTATTGTATACCATTATCACATTAGTTATCTTAACTTCAAAATTTTTAAGCGTGTTGAAAACTAAAAAAACTTTTTATTGTTATATCTGGAAATCTAAAATAATATTTGGGTACTTGAGCAACTTCTCTCCATTATCAGACTCGTGGCAGTGGTAAACTCAAGGGTAATCTTAACCACCTCTCTGTTGAATACCAGCCTCTACAAGCAGTTTATATACTAGTGAAGCCGTGAAACACTTAACCAAACTGCGGCCAGTTGGAACTGGAGGTAGTTGATACTATCTTTGAGCTTACTAGTAGTAAGCTCGAAGATACTATCAACAACACACATGGTGGTAGTAAGTTACTACCACCATGAGAGTCCTCGGATCATGAACAACACCTAGCTCTGCTGGGTGCATGGTGTTTCAAGGATCACTGTACCACTACCATGAGAGTCCTCGGGTCATGAACAACACCTAGCTCTGCTGGGTGCATGGTGTTTCAAGGATCACTGTACCACTACCATGAGAGTCCTCGGGTCATGAACAACACCTAGCTCTGCTGGGTGCATGGTGTTTCAAGGATTACTGTACCACTACCATGAGAGTCCTCGGGTCATGAACAACACCTAGCTCTGCTGGGTGCATGGTGTTTCAAGGATCACTGGTTAAGTGGTTAAAGCGATATTTATACAGAGATGGGTGACATCTAGTTGTATCCTCAGTTTCAGGAGTAGATACGATGTGGCCTTCAAGGTTAGAGAAATAAGTGCAACTAGTCAGTAAGAGATAAAGTCTAGGAATTACGAGTAAAATTAGATGAGAACATACTCACACGTTAGTGTTGAGAGCCTCTATCAGCCAGGAGGCCGCCAGAGTGACCTCATCAATGCCACCATACAGTTGGTTGTAGAAGTGACGATGACTTGTGTTGACACTATACTCAAATATCTGCTGCAGCACCTCCTCCGCCTCCTGCAGTGACGACCCATCCGTCCCCACCCTCAGTGCCAGCACCGCCTGGGGTAGGAAGGAGCAAATCAGATCTGTAGGACCCGAATTCCAATAAGTCATTAACATGACTCACGAAATCGTAATGACACGCGACGGTTTGGAGTTTTGAGACTCTCTGACCGCGGGTTCTATTCCCGCCCGTGGTATGGTTTGCAATAAGTCACTTCGTCGGACTTTTTAGGGGGGTTAAACTATGTATGATAACTATACTAATGTGTATTTGACCTAAATTTAAATTAGATAAGTTTAGATTTAGAAAGGACATAGGAAAGTATTGGTTTGGAAATAGGGTAGTTGATGAGTGGAACAGCCCACCTAGTTGGGTTATTGAGGCTAGGACTTTGGGTAGTTTCAAATTTAGGTTGGATAAGTACATGAGTGGGAGGGGTTGGATTTGAGTGGGACTTGCACATCGGAGCTTGTTTCTTGGGTGGCATTGAAAATAGGGCTGGTCAAATGTTTGTTAGTGGGATGAATTGTAAAGGACCTGCCTAGTATGGGCCAACAGGCCTGCTGCAGTGTTCCTCCTTTCTTATGTTCTTATAAACTTGCTATGACTTCCTCTAGCAGTCAGCGATGTCAACACCATGTAAATACCTGTACAAGCTTAAATAAAAAATACCCGATGTAATACTGTGCAACACAACGTGCAATACAACGTGCAACACAACGTGCAATACAACGTGCAATACAACGTGCAATACAACGTGCAATACAACGTGCAACACAACGTGCAATACAACGTGCAATACAACGCGCAACACAACGTGCAATACAACGTGCAATACAACGTGCAATACAACGTGCAATACAACGTGCAACACAACGTGCAATACAACGTGCAACACAACGTGCAACACAACGTGCAATACAACGTGCAACACAACGTGCAACACAACGTGCAATACAACGCGCAACACAACGTGCAATACAACGCGCAACACAACGTGCAATACAACGCGCAACACAACGTGCAATACAACGTGCAATACAACGTGCAATACAACGTGCAACACAACGTGCAATACAACGTGCAATACAACGTGCAACACAACGTGCAACACAACATGCAATACAACGCGCAACACAACGTGCAATACAACGTGCAATACAACGTGCAACACAACGTGCAACACAACGTGCAACACAACGTGCAACACAACGTGCAATACAACGCGCAACACAACGTGCAGTACAACGTGCAATACAACGTGCAACACAACGCGCAACACAACGTACAACACAACGTGCAACGCAACGTGCAATACAACGCGCAACACAACGCGCAACACAACGTGCAATACAACGCGCAACACAACGCGCAACACAACGTGCAATACAACGTGCAACACAACGTGCAATACAACGTGCAATACAACGTGCAACACAACGTGCAACACAACGTGCAATACAACGTGCAACACAACGCGCAACACAAAGTGCAATACAACGTGCAATACAACGTGCAATACAACGTGCAACACAACGTGCAACACAACGTGCAATACAACGTGCAACACAACGTGCAATACAACGTGCAACACAACGCTCAACACAACGTGCAATACAACGTGCAACACAACGTGCAATACAACGTGCAATACAACGTGCAACACAACGTGCAATACAACGTGCAACACAACGTGCAACACAACGTGCAATACAACGTGCAACACAACGTGCAATACAACGTGCAACACAACGCTCAACACAACGTGCAATACAACATGCAACACAACGTGCAATACAACGTGCAATACAACGTGCAACACAACGTACAATACAACATGCAATACAACGTGCAACACAACGTGCAATACAACGTGCAATACAACGTGCAACACAACGCTCAACACAATGTGCAATACACCGTGCAACACAACGTGCAATACAACGTGCAATACAACGTGCAATACAACATGCAATACAACGTGCAGTACAACGTGCAACACAACGTGCAACACAACGTGCAATACAACGTGCAATACAACGTGCAATACAACGTGCAACACAACGTGCAACACAACGTGCAATGCAACGCGCAACACAACGTGCAATACAACGTGCAATACAACGTGCAATACAACGTGCAATACGACGTGCAACACAACGTGCAATACAACGTGCAACACAACGCTCAACACAACGTGCAATACAACGTGCAACACAACGTGCAACACAACGTGCAATACAACGTGCAACACAACGCTCAACACAACGTGCAACACAACGTGCAACACAACGTGCAACACAACGTGCAATACAACGTGCAACACAACGCTCAACACAACGTGCAATACAACGTGCAACACAACGTGCAACACAACGTGCAACACAACGTGCAACACAACGTGCAACACAACGTGCAACACAACGTGCAACACAACGTGCAACACAACGTGCAACACAACGTGCAACACAACGTGCAACACAAATGAATATCACACTAACTAAACATAAACAGCACGAGAAAAAAATCCATTCAGGTAGGAAATGACTGGTATAGTGTCAAGGTAACACCTTGACAGTGTCAAGAGTATAGTGTCAAGGTAACACCTTGACAGTGTCAAGAGTATAGTGTCAAGGTAACACCTTGACAGTGTCAAGAGTATAGTGTCAAGGTAACACCTTGACAGTGTCAAGAGTATAGTGTCAAGGACACCTTGACACTATACTCTTGACACTTTCATAAAGGTTATGTAAGTTTATTCAGGTATACACAAATAGTTACATAGATTATTACATAGCAACATATGTGTAGATAACCTAAGATAACCCCAAAAAGTTAGATAAAGTGACTTATTTTCACTGGGGTCCTGGTATTTCCACTGGGGTCCTGGTATTTCCACTGGGGTCCTGGTATTTCCACTGGCGTCCTGGTATTTCCACTGGGGTCCTGGTATTTCCACTGGGGTCCTGGTATTTCAACTGGCGTCCTGGTATTTCCACTGGGGTCCTGGTATTTCCACTGGGGTCCTGGTATTTCCACTGGGGTCCTGGTATTTCCACTGGGGTCCTGGTATTTCCACTGGGGTCCTGGTATTTCACCAGGATCCTTGAAGGGACGTCTTACACTTATATCTAAGAGGACTCTGGACCTCCATCCAGACAAGTGCAGTCAGATGTGTTAGTACCATTTACACTTTACAAGTGACTAATCACCAAGTCATTCTCAAATATTATTCACAGAACTATTAAAATGCTTAAAAAATCCAGATCATCCATTGTGTGGTGGCGGTGGTGAACATCAACACTGTGACCAGGTCATCAACCTGGCTGGTCTGACACCGGTCTTCTGGGTCAGTGACCTCTGGAATCATCACAAGGCAGGTGACCGAAATTTATCTTCTCTCCATTAAGTACCAGGATGATATCTTGTCTAACCTATGTATGTAATCTATGTTGGTTATTTTTAGGTATGCTCTTAATATACGATAATAATAATATTAATAATCTTTCTTTTCTTCCAGCGCACCGGCCGTCTCCCACCAAGGCAGGGTGACCAGAAAAAGTGAAAAAAATGATTAAATTTCTCTTCTTTTACATTTAAAAATTCATACAAAAGGGGTTACTAGTCACTTGCTCCCGGCATTTAGTCGTCTCTAACGACACTCATGGCTTACGGAGGAAGGATTCTTCTCCACTTCCCCATGGAGATTATTATTAATAATATTAATATTAATTTGGGTTATACCAATATGTTGTACAGGAATAAATTTGATTTAAAATTCATTATTTAATATATTATTTGTTAAAGGTCATACAGAGACTGGGTAATGGGAGGTAATTTATGAATAATTGACACAGGAATAACTTGTAAACAAGAGTGAGAAACACAGTATTTCGACTGAGACATAATTATGGTAGTGGTTGTCCCTGGGAAGGTTGTAGGGGGGATAAAGTAGGTTTTGAGTGCTAGGAGCTTGAACATCCAACAGGCTTGTGTTAGATCAGAGTGGAGAGAAGCTTACGACGACGTTTCGGTCCGGCTTGGACCATTGACAAAGTCACACTAACCAGAGGTACCGAACGAACGAACGAAAGTTCAGGTAAGATCCCAAATGGGATGAGCGGGGAAGACGGGACAGACGAAGAATAGTGCTGGAGAGGAGTGTTCTTAGTTGTAGACATAGAGCCAGGGCTTAACCCAGCAGCTAAGTCGATCGTGGGACAGACATTGAGAACACACATAGCAGGCTCTTCTGTTGCGACTCCGGTGGGTGAGTGGGGAAGTGTGGACAGACGATGAACAGTCCGTGAGAGGAAAGGTCTTGAGTTGTAGATGAAAGAGCCAGGGGCTAAACCCAGCTGCGTTGGCAAAAACTGGCGAGGCAGTGAAGAGAGGGCATGTTGAGGACATAGAGGAGAAGAGCCGACTGCGACAGTGCTCGCTGACTGATATGCTTCAGGCTTGAGGTGAAGAGTCTGGTTTGGACGTCAGGTGTTGGGAAGGGTGTTGTGTGTTTGGCTACACTTTGCCTGGTGATGGAGCCACTCTTGATTCTTTTGAAGTCTCTCTTGGACATGTTGGAAATAGTTTCATTCCTGAGGTTGGAGCAGTTCAGATTTCGTCACGAGGTTTTGGAGCAGGTGAGGTTTGTGCAGGTGTACTTTAACAGCTCCTTCTTTCATTTAAGTGGAGCAATCAGCTGCGCTCATTTCGTAGGGAGGTTGGGGGTGGTGGTAAGAAGGTTAAGACCCATTAAAGGCTTGGCTTAGGTAACGTTTGCCCTGTGGTTTCTTCTTTCTTCGACAACTACTTCGTCTTGTTCCGAAGGGTTGTTCATAATGTTCTGGTCAAAAAACTATTTCGGTCTTCTGTGACGTGTTGAGAGGAGGAGGGAGTGTTGGTCGGTTGTGATCTGTTGGGCTGGTGAGTGGGACGGCTGTAAGCAGAGACAGCAGGACAGGCAGTACAAGCCTTTTACGAAGAAGTGCGGTGGTGATTATGGATTCTCTGGAGAAAGAGTCTGGTCAGATCAGTACCAGAGAATACGAGTAGAGAACCCAGAGGGTTTGAGGTGAAGTTTAAACAATGTCCTGGAATTAAGACTTGAGAGTGAGGA